AAGCAGTCAAAGGGATAAGAGACCAACTGCAAATTAACAAGCGAAAAATGGTTAGCGCGCACAAGCGGAGCGAGAGCGGGGAGTAGCATGCAACGCTGTGGAGGTGTGGAGCAGCAAACGCAATGCAATACAAAGTGTCAGCGCGCAGTTGTTGGTTTTACCCTTCGTGGCATGTAGTGTGTGACTGCTGTCCGTTTTTCACTTCGATTTCTATTTTGTTTTGCCACCGCAGCGCTTTCTGTTGGTGCTGTACAGCCAACGCAATGCAGCGTTGGAGCCCAAAAAAAAAGTGGCAAACTTTAGCTGAAAACTGATTAAGTTATCCACCAACGACGACACAGCGGTGGCTTTTGCTGTCGGTTGAATGATTGTGGTCTATTTCATTGCTGTATTTCGCACAATACTTGAATGTGCAAAATTTGCTTGATGAGTGGTTTTTTCATTTGTAGTTTTCCCACTGCAAAATCTGAAATTAATTGGTGCAGTGTGTTGCAGAAGACACTTCAGTGTGTACTCGTATTTATGTTAGCTGCTGACTAACACAGTAAAGCTCTACTATATATATATACGAGGGTTGCTTTTTATATTTCGGAATTTGGCAATCGTAGTGTAGCAATCTGGCATAACTGGTACAGCTCACGGTATACATACTGAGAATATATAGATATTCCATCAAGGACCAATCATCAAGGACCAGTGTTTATTGATGGTATCGTGTATTCTATCAAGGCCCCAGATCGTTTAATTTCACTTGTTCGGGAACTAATTGATGCTGTGCGTTGACTTATATAGCCAGATCGCCGTATGACCCATCGTGAGATTAAGACAACTAAAGGTATTAGTGAGCCCAGCATACATTCCATATTGCAGGAAAATTTTACGGCACAAAAAAATTTTTTTACGTTGTATTCCATAAAATTTTTCAATCAGAATGAGAGAGAAATGTAAAAAAAAAACGATAGTGTTGCCCGAAAGTAAGCAGTTACCGATTGTATGGATGCTGAAAGAAGAGCTGAATCGGGCAAAAATTGGTCACCCACGAAACACTTCCAAGCAATTCCTCCCCTTTTTTTTATTTTTTTTTTTTTTTGCTTGGAAGAAGTTGACATGTCTAAACCGTTAGAGTGGAACAAGGCAGAATATCGAATTCCAGAGAGATTAAAAAAATCAGGAATCCTATCTGCCAAGGAAGGCCACAACCAAGCCATGAAAATGGCTCACTGGAAGCGAGCACAACCAGAGCTAACTGCAGTCCGCATTCTTAAAAGTTATTTAGACTATATGCAACACTTACAGTTCACGGGAACTTACGCTAAGATTTGGCCTCCCACCACATAAGTCAACCTGGAAAAATTAACGCAACTTCCTCATGACTGAAACCTACTTGAGCCCGATAAGAGCCTGGAAAACTAGATTGCGTCAGGTTGAAGTAGGCTTTGAGCAACACAAACGGACACATTGTGATACAACAAAATATGCCATTAACCAATCCTCGCTGAGGCAACCACCGTGTGGAGTTAACAAACATTGTTGTGACTGTTATTAAGAGCGATCGTTTTGGGAGCGGATATCTGTGACACAGCGATGTCGGAGTAACTGTTGAGCGAAAAGTGCCCCAATAGCACGACGGGTAACCATGGCAATCTTCAGATGGACATATTGCCCTCGAAAATCCATTGATGGCAAAGTGGCAGACACCCTCGCTCTTGTAGTTTCACACTGCATACATATATAGGGGCGGCAACACTAGCGGCAAAGGAAAAGAGATGTTTAATGATTTTTTGACACCCCCACTATATGTACCTGTGAGCGAGCTCTCACACATCGAGTGAAACAACAGCCTTTTGGGTGGACTCAAAGCATCGATTTGATAAATCATCTACCATACAGTGCTGGCTGGGCCCCAATTGAGAACTTTTTTTTACCCTTAAGTGAAAAATCGACAGCTGAAGTGTCGGTGGATACGTGGCAAGAGTTCTTTGATAATTGGTTTACTGATTTTGAATCAAAAAAAAAATTGATTTTTTTACGCATAAAAACGAAAGCCATAAATTTGTGGAGAATGTGTTTAAAGGGAATTTGCAATGCGATAAACATTTATCAAAAGGCAGCTTCACGAACACACCTGTCTCATGCACGCACGCAAGGCAAACTTTAAAAAGAACTTTGAGCGCGCTTATCTCGAAGCGATTTTTTCCGATCTAACTTCAAGCCCCGGACTTGATCTATCCTTCCGTTATCTTTTATCTAAAAACTATTTAAAAGTTTTAGCTTTTTTGTACGTCTTGAACCTAAGTTTAGCATTAATAATTAATTATTTATATTTTTTTAACGTAATTGAAGTGAAAAAAGCTCGCAAATTCATAATTACAATGAACATTATGCAACAAATTTATTACCCAATTTTTTTTCAATTGAAGTTCAGAACGTAGAAAATTTCATGATCTTCAAGTGATGACAACGATTTTTGATATCGGTCTACTACAAGAGGCTGAAGGCTTGAAGTTGTTGGGTCAAGTTTTTAGCGCAGAGGACGTTATTTTGAATTTCGACAATTTTTTTCGCCATTTTAAAATCTAAGAGCTTTTCACACCAATTTAATAGTCAAACCGTAAGCTCGTACGCCTTTTCATCCTCCCACAAAGAAAAAAAAACCAACTTTGCCTGATTTTTGCGCAATATCAGGGGAGCGTCCCCTTGGTGGAGCATATTTCGATAAACAATAAAGTGATATTCCATGACTGATTTTGATTTTTGCTCTCTAAGCCCGAAATATTATAGGCCGGTCTCGTAGAAATGCCTGACAGAGTTCCTTCTAACTTTATGCCCAAAAATATTCGATTTATATTTCTTTTGACTAAACATTTTACAGCCGAAATAGAATTTTGCTTAGATTTATGAAAAAAAAAATCCATTCAAATTTGTCGAACAAGAAATATTGACTCATAATTTTAATGATATTTTTATTATTTACTTCTTGTGTGCGGTTCCTTTTTTGTGGTCTAACAAGTCCATGCGTTCACTGGTCTATTGTGCACACAACCAACTGTGAGAGGGCTAACGCTTGAGCGGCGTGCTGAATGGCTACAACTTAACTTTGCTATTTAAACAGACTGTGATGTCTAAAATGCTGCAACATACAACAACAATCACTGTGGGCAATGCAGCTTAACTCAAAAACCGCAAAGGGATTGTAAAAACTACCAGTAATGAACAGAAACGGACCGCTTGAATTTGACTTCACCTCAAAATGTACACAAAATTGTTGCTTTTCCTTACTTAAATAGTTTTCAGTTAGCATATCAGTTGTTTTATATACACACTGGAGGAGGAGCTCAACTGATAATCACTTTAGCTTCTCGTCAGACTTCTGCAGCTGCCAAGATGACAATAAGTTCTGCTTGGAAGACGCGGCAATAGTCAAGGTAACCTCAAATTAGTAGTGGTTTAGAGCATAGGTCCGATCTTTCAAGTTTAGACCTATTCATGTATAGGACTATGTCACTCTGATCCAGAGCTTTTGTAATTTTCCATTCACATCTGTGCGGAATTCTTGCGCAGAAGAGTTTGTCAAAACAGTAAGTGGAGATGGTGTAGTTCAACGCCGCTGGATATTGTGCGCAGGACGGCATACAGGAGTGCACTGCTACCTAGTAACCTCCAAGGCTGAGTCACCTCGAGTCTAATGGTATTGCAGCGCGTTTGAAGTCTGCCGTACAAATCCATGAGAAGCAAATCGAGAAGAGTATTCAGAGCTTTTGATGGAGCAGCCGATCGCTGAACTCCGTTAAGTTCCGAATACTACCCACGAAGCTGTGATGCCGTAGAATACAAAAGTTCTTCTTTTGAAGTGTGTTTCTTCTTCTCATTTTAAGGCTTTGCTCAGTTTTGTCTCAGCAACATTTAGTTTTTATTGAGATGAACGGCACCGCCATTCTCAGCGCAGTCTATTAAAATATTAATAACTCAAACCCAGAGTCTTCCACCGCGACTTCAAAAAAAAAAAAATAGACAATAATCGAATTGAAAATGTATGTCGATTAGCCAGCTATCTACGCCAGCCATCCAGAGACGGTGCTAAACTTGAAAAACGAAATTAAAGCCGTCATTGCTGCGATAGAAAGTTGAAGAATTGGGGTGACACACAGAACAGGATGAGCTACTCCAAGGCATATGAATGAAGTGAAGAATTTTTAAAAAGTATTTATACGTCTCTTTTTATAACAAAGATGCGTCATTCGTCTCTTCTCTTGAATTGCTGGTGCCAAATAAAGCCAGCATGAGAAGCTAGGGCTTTCTTCACCTAATCTTACCAAACGAATTGGTGGCCTTCCTCATCCTTTGCTTCCACCGTTGGGTACTCCGTTGAAAACTATGGTCTTTGAGAAAGAAAAAATTAAAATCTGAAAAACGATATCTCAACATACATACATACTACTACGGCTTTGAAGTATTTTATTTGTAAATTAAATGTTATCCATTTTCCTCCATCCGTAGTTGGCAAAAGGTTGGCCTTACAAACATCAAAAGCCGCCACACACTTTTTTCAAATTATGAATTATCGATGAAAATTGACAGCCAACCAAAAGCCATCGTACAGAAAACCACCAAACCACCAACTGTGCTTTTTGACACAAAACGGGCACTTAATTGTGCCACATGAAAGGTGTGTTTATTGCACGGAATGACGATGAAAAAAGAGTTATATACTCGTATTCGTACAGTTATAGGCATATACAAAACGGCAACAAAACTATTAATCTATCATACACTATGTCAGTATGTATGTATATGAGTATTTTTGTTTTAAGTAAATAAAACCAATTTTGTTTTTCGATTTTCTCGAACGCAAAAAATTGTAACTTAATTTCAATTGATTTTTTATTTATTTTTTAACATATAGATTTTAACCTTTAAGTGCTACGTAAATTGGCTTTGTTTATTTCTTTTTTTTTCTATAACACATATTTGCTTAAGCTTTTTCATTCACCACTTTTCAGGTTGTGCTGGTTCAGGGTCATTATCTGTCATACCTGCCGCTTTGCAGTCGCAACGAGCCGGTCTTTTTGGCCACATGCACTCCCATTGCCATGCCGGAGACGCGCGAATGTGTGGTGCAGGGCGCCACCAATGTATTCACCACCATACATTCAATGGATATGAAAATTGCTCATATCGACAAAAAGTGAGTAGCGTTTGTATATCTGTTTAAGTATTTACATATGCCACGCAAAGGCTGCTAATTTAATTTTATTTTGATTCTGATTTTTATTTTATTTTCTTTATTTTATTTTAGTTTATTTTTATATATTCTACTATATTAAACTAATTAATTTTAATTTAATTTATTTTGTTTATATAAAATAAAAACGAAAATAATATTAAATAAAATAAAATAAAATAAAATAAGTTGAAATAAAATAAAATAAAATAAAATAAGTTGAAATAAAATAAAATAAGTTGAAATAAAATAAAATAAAATAAAATAAAATAAAATAAAATAAAATAAAATAAAATAAAATAAAATAAAATAAAACAAAATAAAATAAAATAAGGTGAAATTAGTTGAAATATCTTAAATTATTTATTATTATTATATATTTTAACTAATTTCGCTTCATTTTATTTTATTTTATTTTATTTTTGTTTTTACTTTTTATAAATTTATTATAAAAAATTTTATTTTATATTATTTTAAATTAAATGGCATTTATAGATGATTTAATTTTCTTTTATTTTACTTAATAAAGTTTAATATTATTCTACGTTAAATTATATTATTTTCTTCTGTTTTATAATAAGTAATTCTTTTATTTTGTTTCATATTATTTTAATATATTTTGTTTTTCTTATTTTCCTTTATGTACAATAATACTTTTTTACATTTTTTTTTATATTATTTTATTTGATTTAGTTTTAAATAAATATTTTTTTATATATATTTCTATTAAAGTTTAATTTTACATTATTTTTTTTTAATTTATTTAAGCAATAATTTTTTTTATTTGATTTAATATTATTTTATTTAAATCACATATTTAGATGGTTTAATTTTCGTTTTTTTTTTTTGTATGTACTAAAGTTTAATAAAATCTTATTTAAAATTTTCATATTATTATTTCTAATATATTTTAAATTAACTTTTTTTTTTGATAATATATTTGTTTTAATAAATTTAATTTTTCTTATTTTCCTACATTTTTATCTAAAACATTATTATCTACAATAATATTTTATTTACATTTTTTTCTGTATTTTATTTTATTTTATTTTATTTTAATTTATTTTATTTTATTTTACTTAACTTTATATCAATTTTTTTTGTATATTTTTATTTAAGTTAAGTTTTACATTATTCACTTTTTAATTATATTTAAAGTAATTTTAATATTTTTTTTTTATTTGGTTTAATATTATTTTATTTAAATCACATATTTAGATGATTTAATTTAAGTTTTTTTTTGTTTACTGAAGTTTAACAATATTTTATTAAAAATTTTCATATTATTTTTTTAATTGATTTGTTACATATTTATTTTTTTTTAATATATTTGTTTCAATAATTTTTTTTCTTATATTAATTAATACAAAATAATATTTTATTTATTTTTTTTCTTTGTATTTTAATTTATTTTATTTAAATTCACATATATATTTTTATTTTATTGTTTTTTAGTTTTATTATACTTTATTTTTTAATAAGTATTGTTTTATTTTGTTTTTATATTTTTTTATATTAAATCTCACACTTTGGTGCTTTGATTTTCGTTTCTTTTATTTACTAAAGTTTAATAATATTTTATTATAATATTATTTCTTAATTAATTTTATTTTTTCATTTCATTTTATTTAATTTTTCTTATATTCCTTTATACAGTATAATATTTTATTTACTTTTTTCCATTATTTTCAACTATTTTATTTTTTATATATTTTTATTTTATTTTGTTAAAAATCATTTTAAATTTAATCACATTAAATCACATTTAATTTTCTTTTCTTTTATTTACTAAGGTTTAATATTATTTTATTTCAAAGTATGTTATTGTATTCTGTTTTCAGTTTTTATTTTTATTTTATTTAATTTAATTCTATTTTATTTTAATAAACTTTATTTTTCTTATTTTTCTTTACACAAAATAATATTTCTTTTACTTTATTTCTTCATTATATTTTATTTCCTCTTACATATATATTTTTATTTTAGTTTTATTTTACTTTATTTCATTTTATTTTATTGCATTTTATTTAATTTTTTTCAACATATTCAAATGTTTTAATTATCTTTTCTTTTATTTCTTAAAGTTTAATATTATTTTATCAAAGCTTTAATTTTATTCTTTTTAATGTAAGTCAATTTTCTTTTATTTCATTTCATTTTATTTTAATAAATTTTATTTTTCTTATTTTTCTTTGTATTGGCTAATATTTTTTTATTTCTTTCCTTTCTTTTATGTATTTTTCTACTTTTATTTGTTCTATTTTATTTCTTTCAAATTTAATTTTATCTTATATGTTTTATTAAATATCTTTTTGGCTTTTTATCTCTATTATCTTATTTATATTATTTTTTATTTGTCTTTTTTTACCGTTTGCAGTGGAGAATTTCATCTGGGTTATAGCAAAAGTGATATTCACGGTCTCTCATGGTACAATCTGTTGCATTCAGAGAACTTACGTGAGGCGCAAAGCAAGCATAGGCTGAGTAAGTGTCCAAATGAAATTTATAAATATTAAACAATAATTTTTTTTTTTGTATTTACATAGCTAATTACTGCTTCGATTTATTTAGATATTATTATTATAAATAATATTCCGATTCGCGATCTGTTTAAAAATTTTGTGAAATTTCTTTAATCGTCGTTTTTCGAAACAAAAGTTTAATTACATTTTATATTTTTGCATTCCCCATCCCTTGCAGTAACCCAATCAGAGCAGGACCGCTCCTGCATTTTATTGGTGCGAATGCAACGGAGTCAAAGCGATTTTATTTGGGTCCACGTGGTATTGCAAGTACGCGATAGTCAAGACACCAACCAACAACCAGTCATCGTTTGCACAAACCAAGTTCTGAAGTAAGTGGGCAGATGCAATTCGGTAAAAAATAATAAAAAGTGATTCAAAATATCGTTATCTAAGTCGTTTCAATTCTCTCACAATAAGTTTCTACTCACACCTATTTATAACTCAGTTCATGCAATAAAGTTAATGAATACAATTTTTTTTATTCTTTTTCTCTACGCACTCAATTTCCTACTCCGCACAAACTTTGTATTCGCAGCGAACGTGAAGCGTCGGTTATGCTCGCCAATTCTTGGCTCTATCACTACTATTCAGTGCAGTCGAAGATACAGTTCGGGCTCGCCTTTGACGCGCCTACACGAGTGCCACCAACAACACCGACTGCAGCTGCGGCGGCTGCAGTATACTACCATCATCATCATCATCACGCGCATCATGCGCATTTGCATCATCACGCGGGCGCCACCACCGCAACGGTACCGCTTCCTGCTACCGCATCGGCTGGTTATGCTGCCGCTGCCGGCTTACATCCGCATCAAACACATGCACATTCCATGCACCATCCGCAACACCAGCACTTACATACGCATCCACACACGCACCCACACCAACATGTTCATCCGCATTCACAATACCATCATATGACGGCATACGGTACGTATCACACGCCAACAGGTGCGACGAGTGGTGGTAGCACGAGTGTGGGGAGTGGCAGTTGTGGTAGTGCGGAAAGTTCACCTGCACCGCATCTGAGTGGCGCCCAGTCCCAGCAGCAGTTAACGCATCATTTGCTCAGCAACGGCGGTGTGGGGTTGACGACGCACACGGCGTCCATCAATGGTGCGTCAGTCGGTCCGTACATTTGCCAACAACGTATCGGTTTGGAACCAGTCGATTATAGTCAAGTGCCCGGCGGTAGTGCCGCATCATCGATTGGATTTAATGGTGCGCGTTCACCTGCTAACGGTCAGTCGGATGGACAAATGCGGTGCAGCAGCACGAATAGTTCCGTTTCCAGTCTCACAGCAACGCCGCATTACGTCACGCATAACAACAACACCAGCGGCAAAAACAAGACAAGCAGCAACAGCAACACTAACAACAGCAACACCAATAGCAATCACAATAATATACATAGTCACAGTCACAGCGCCAGCACCAACATCAATACCAATGGAAGTATGAATTCAACGCAACATCAGCGGCTCAGCTCACCACCCACGAAACGCCGTGCAATCGGCAAACTGGAACCTCTCTACCTACCAGACGATACCAGGGACGATACACCCACAACGGTGAACGAAATTGACACCCCTTACCACCTACAGTCACATTCGGTCATCTCTACATCAGCCGAATCGCATGCTTCGGTAATATTCGCCACCGTTGTGCCTACACGTCCGCGACTCATACAAAAGTCACTACCCAACGAACCGCCCGACTTCATCGACCAGTGGAATCCCAGTCCGCCGTGGTCGGAGTCAGCACAGAAACTCTCTTTGGACAGCACATCCTCCACGCAACAAGAACTCAGTCCGTGCATTACAACCACACCGCCAACACCGACAAGCGCGCCACCCAATAGTTCGCTGAGTGCAAATTACGGTGGCTTGCAAACGCTTGGTCCCGCCTTTTCTTTCGAATGGATGTCCGATCCGCTGGTGCCTGTTGCAGAACCCTACGTTTCATGTATAACACCACCAGATGGTGTGCCCATTGTAGTCGCTCATCCTCATACTCATCCAACGGCGCAACATACATTGCATTGGTCGACGAGCACCACATCATCGGAACACCATCAGCATTTAAGTCAACATCTGGCATCACGCGGTCATCGACTACTTAGTCTATCAACTGGTGGTGTGGCTGATACGACGCAGCAGGTGGCCGCCTCGGCAACGGGTAATGTGGGGAAGAGTGCGAGAACGAAATCACCAGAAGTCGCCGAGCGTAAAGGTGAGTACTTTTAGTGTCTCAAAGCATGTATATAATGGATTTTAGATCATATTCTATTCATATGTTCTTCAATGAACTGGGAAGACCTACGTGGAAGCTTCAACGATTGTCTGAGTTTTTGCTTAGCGCTTTAGACTTCAGCGCCCAGTCCATAACCTATCTTTCGCCCGTCAGTATAGATATCTTCCCTCCATTTATATGTGGAGTCTATTTCATTTATTTATGATTACTTTTTACTGTTTTCTTTAACGATATTTTTATTAATAAAAAAATAATTAAATTAATTAAAAAAAAAATATTAAAAAAATTAAATAAAATATTTAATTGAATTTCAGAATCGCCACGCAAATAATTCAGCGACCGAAAGTGATATTCTAGCGCTCATGATGTAGACTTAAAAACCGTTAAAATAATAATAAGCCAAGCAAAGCTTTATGCATATATAATATATGCATATACATATATAGCATTTAAATAAAAATGTATTTTTAATTTACTATTAATCGCCAGATTAATATAGAATTTATTATTAGAATGCAAAACTACAACAAATATTTTTTTTTTATAAAACTCAAAAGCATTATGATAAAGCGAAATATCTAACTATTTATATATGTATATATATGTGTATATATTTACAAACATAAAGAAGAACTAATTTAGATTGTGAAAAGTCACACCTCAAACAATAATGGCGCTACTAAATATTAATTAATAAATTTTAAGAGTGTTTGCAATAACTGTAAATAAGTATAATACATACGTATGTACTCGTGAACATAGATGTAATTATTAAAAGTGCAAATAAATTTTTATTGCCAATTATTTCCTTCTAATGGGAATTCGCTACGTCAATGGCGCGGGTGTAACAGTGAATATGTGTTAAAAATTCCCAAACATACATACACACACACACACCTACTATAAAATAATTTTATACTGTTGTACTTGCGTGTGTATGTATGCGCGAACTGGCTGTCTGCTGAGTTGAGTGTAAATAAACTTGAAATTAGCAAACTTCGCAAAAGTTCAAAGTTGTTGCGATGGGCAATTTTTAAAAACTTTTTTACTTATTTAATTTTTTAAATTTTTTTTTTTATTTCTTAAGTTTCTTATTTTATTTTATTTTTACACATGCAAATAACAGAGCCGCAGCTGATTTCATCGCAAGCCATTTAAATGAAACTAATTTATTTTTTAATTTCTCTACTTTTAATTTATTTTTATGTGTGAAAATTTTCATTTTATTTTCATTTTTTATTATTTTTTTTATTTTTTTTTTTACTGTCATACTAATTTTGCAAATTTTTTTTGCAATTTAAATTTTGCTTAGATAAAAAACCAATGGAAATTAGTGCAATTTAAAATGTGTATCTGTATTACTGATGAAAAAATAGTATATATGTTTAGTTGATAAGCTGGAGTGAAACACTGTAAAAAAATTAAATTTTAAGGAAAGGTATATTGCAGTAATTTTTAAGTGAGAATGAAAATTTGTATATATGTAGGCGCAACGAAAACTGTATAATTAACCTTCTATAAAAACGTTTAAGACAAAATAATTATTTCTATGTAAAAAAAAATTTAAGAACTTTTTAATAATGAAATAAAATAATATTTATTATTTAACGTATTTACATTGCTTTTATTGTGTATAACTTTAATTAATTTATACTTTTTATAATACAATTTTTTATACAATATATTCAAGCAAGCACACTGTTATTCGTATGTATATAAATATATGGCAATGAAACAGTATCAAAAAGGAAAAAAATGTATAAACAACGGTTAAATACAAGTTTGTGCAAGCACAATATGTAAAAATAAAAACCAAAATGCAAGTTCATTGGGTTCAATTAAATAAAGTCCAAATACAAACAAATATTTGTTTTAAATTCAGAACTTGGAAAAAAAAGATGAAAATGGTCTGTACAAAATTTAATTTTCCCCAATTACAGTACAAGAAGCAGAACAGATATTGGCAGGTAAGCTCGCTCAAGAATCTTTTCAGCGATTATAAAACGTTGGTAATATCATATACGTATATACAAACAAAAAAACAATTATTAAAAAATTCTTCTTATTTCAAATCTCGTTATATAACTTTATTTTATATCGTATGTTTTTTGAATTTTATGTTAACAAAAAATATATTATTTATTTATTTATATAAAATATATTATTTTATTTTTATTTATATGAAATTATTTTACTTTATTTTTTCAAGTGATTTCATTTTTTAATGCTATTTAATTTATCTATTTCCTTGATTTTATTTAATTAATTTTTGGCTTACATAATTTTTTTGTATATTCCGAATTATTTTATTTTAAATTCATCCTATAATTTCTTTTCCCTTTGTTTTGCATTTTCTTTTATTTCACATGGTTTTACTTTATTTCGTTTTATGTTATTTTGGTCAATTTTTTTTATTTTTCATAATATTATGTCAACATTAATTTTCTTTATATTTTTATTTAAATTTGTTTAGCAAATTTTTTAGAATTTTTCATTTAAATTTATTAGCCAAAGTGTTCAGTTTTTCTCTTAAATTATTATTAAGTATTTTATTTTAGTTCTATTCCTCTAAAATATTCTTTTTTCTCTTTCATTTTCTTTTAATTTAGTTTTATTTTGTATAAAACTCCTTTTTTAATTTTTATTTATTTTAAATCTTTCATTTTACAGTATTTCATCTCATTTGTTCAATTTATTTACCGATTTTGTTTATTTTTTTACTTCACTTGTTATTTTATTTTATTTCATTTTTTTATTTTATTTTATTTCATTTCATTTTTTTTGTATTTTATTGTATTTTATTTTATTTTATTTTATTTTATTT